AGAAAGAAAGAAAGAAAGAAAGAAAGAAAGAAAGAAAGAAAAAGAAAAAGAAAGAAAAAAAGAAAATGGAAACTCTGGGCTGCATATGGGAGTTGAAAAAGGGAAAGTGGGTACGGGAACTGTGTGGGAGGGTTGTAGGGTGCAGGTCTGCCTGACTTGCTCTGATGACTATCTTGAGTTACTGTCAATCTGGGGTGCTGGCTGACACTGTCTCAGCTACAGCTGGGTGACAGATTAGCAGGCTTGATGTAATCTCTAGATAGGAGAGAGTCACGCCTCTCTTCATTTCTGATTTGTTTCAAGAATAGCCCCATAATCTTCAAACAAACATACAGTTAGATAAGTGTGCATGGAGCAAGAGAGTGTCTGATGAGAAAAGGGAGAAAAGAAACTTTCTTCAATGCTTTGAGGCTACATTTTAGGAGTATGAGAGAAGTTTTTAAAAAGCTTTAAAATGCATTTCAAAGCTGAGATACTTGGTTACATTTTCGCAGTTTTCTTTTACTCAATTCCTTTAGCTTTCAGCTCTTCTTTGACGCGGTTCAGGTAAGTAGGATCAGGGTAGCCATACCTGTAAGAAGAAATATTCCTTTATTGTCATCACAAATGGTTCCAAAGCTCTTCAAGAATGACTTGGCATTTGAGGATTTACTCTTCAGTGTTGCAAACATTCACACATAATCCTGAAAGTGGATGTCTATAATGACTTTAAAGTGTGCAGATGTGAGTCATTTAGCTAGTGAGTGAGCCTAGCTGTCTGACCACCATCTGCCTTTCAACCAGGCTTTTTAAAATTCTCAGTTTATTGTAAGTAGTGACTCTCATTAAGTTATAATAATATACTGTATTTTGTGGGGCTGTTGTAATCATATGCTGGTAGGATGGTCAAATTTAAGAGTTTGGAAAAATCTCAAGATGTATATTTTTATTTTATACTATGGGTCTGATGTATTATATTTGAGTTTCATAAAGAACGATTGAATTTCCTGAAACATAGCATCCACCACTAGTCTTCTTACAGTTAAGGTTTTTTCTTTCTTTCTTTCTTTCTTTCTTTCTTTCTTTCTTTTTTTTTTTTTGAGTTGGAGTCTCACTCTGTCGCCCAGACTGGAGTGCAGTGGCATACTCACCACTACCCCAGCGTCGACCTCCTTCCGCCTAGCCTTCCAAATAGCCAGAACTACAAGCGTGCACTACCACGCCCAGCTAAACAACTAAGATTTTTTCTACAATGCTATTGGCCAAATGAGTTCAGGTTCTCTGTGGACTGGTGGGGAGAGGGGAGGAAAAAAGGTGACCTTCAAAGAAAACAAAGTAAATAACATTCCTAGAATCTACCCTTCAAATAGATATGAAGCCCCAAAGTAAATCAACTTATGTACCATTCATCTTGGATTCTGAAACCCCCTGTTCTTTTTTTTTTTTTTTGAGTTGGAGTCTCACTGTCGCCCAGACTGGAGTGCAGTGGCCGCTCC